GAAATTTTCCTGAGAATATGCACTCTTTTGGGCAAAGATGTTCAGCAATCAGCAGTGCAAGAGAATTCTTTAGATTTTGAGATTTTCCAAATGCCACTTTTGTTTCTCACTGATTATGTGCCCTTGGGCAGGTTTTGTCACCTCTGAGTTTCACTATCTTTATGTGTAAAATAGAAAAATTACTTTTCTCACAGGTCAGCTGGATTTAGATAAATATTTATAAAATGCCTAGCCAAAGATGAACAGAGTAGGCATGTAAATGTTTGTTCTTTTGTCCTTTACCCTAAAATTCTTTTTAATTCAGGTGAAGTAGAAGATACTACACATTAAGCTAGTGCTTCTCAAACAAACATACTTGTACCCTAAGAGGTATACGCAACTATTAAACAAACAACTTGTGTCCTCCTGGAACTCAATTTAAAATTTGGGAGAAAAACGTAAATACTTAACTGATAATTTAAAAGTTATACCAAAACAACATTGCTATAGCAGAGTATTTGCACTATATTTCAAGAGGCAACATAAAAACTATGCTTGCAACCCTGGCTGGCGCAGCTCAGTGGATTGAGCGTGGGCTGTGAACCAAAATGTCGCAGGTTCGATTCCCAGTCAGGGTACATGCCTGGGTTGCAGGCCATGATCCCCAGCAACTGCACATTGATGTTTCTCTCTATCTCTCTCCCTCCCTTCCCTCTCTAAAAATAAATAAATAAAATCTTAAAAAAAAAAAAACATGCTTGCATTAGAACTTAGGCCACACCCTCAGGTTTTAGGGCTACTTCTTTGTCATTTTCTGCTGTTTGGTATATCTTCCAAACTTTTCCACTAAAGCACTGCTTTTCCTTTCCAATTTTGTTACTAAACTCAAGTTCCTTTTCTTCTCAATATCAGTTACGTGTGAAGGAACAGGTTAGTTCCCTTGGGCCTGGTTACCCTTAAATTATCAAGGACAACCTGATAAAATAACATTTTACATTACAAAGGTTATTTAATGTGGAATTTATAGTTAAGAGACAGAACCCAGCAAATAAATCATTGAAATGGAGATTGTAGTTTTTTGACTAGGATTTCTCAAGCTCTTATCTATACCTTGAGTCAATGTTTTTCTTTTCCAGTAAACTGTGAACATTAGCCTTTGCATATACACAACACTAACCTAATTTTTAGAAAAACAAAATATTTTACCAATCACTATGTAATTCCTTTTACTCAACAGAATATCAATATCCATAAAATTAAGCATCCTAATGAGTAAATATGTAAGAATAATGTGGCATGAGTATCCCAGAGCCAAATACAGGGTGAGCACACCTGTACTGTCTTGGTTCAGTGTCACACATTAAGGAAAACAATGATAAACTGAAGCATGTTCAGAGATCTACAAAACTCATAAGAATATGAAAACCATACTAATGTGAACAAGAGCAAGAAAACAGAGGTGCTTAATTTGTAAGGGGAAAAAAACTTGGCTTGGAATTGATGAGGTCTAACAGCCATGTTATAAGTTCTGAAGGCTGTCATATTTGAAGAAAATCAGACTTGCTGTTTTCTTTTAATGCTATAAACTCTTTTCTTTTTCCTTTTTTTAAAGAATTTATTTATTTCTTTTTAGAGAGGGAAGGGAGGGAGACAGAGAGAGAGAGAGAAACATCAATGTGCGGTTGCTGGGGGTCATGGCCTGCAACCCAGGCATGTACCCTGGCTGGGAATCGAACCTGTGACACTTTGGTTCACAGCCCGCGCTCAATCCACTGAGCTACGCCAGCCAGGGCCAGACTTGCTGTTTTCTAGAAATAGGATCTACATGAGAAGGCAGTAAAACATAGGTTAAGTACAGGTCTCTGAGCTTGCAAAAGACACTTGAGTACTACAGACATTTTATCAATTATGTGATAGTGGAAACAGTATGTGCTATTCCTGGATACCAGTTATCTTCTACATAAGGAGGGTGCTAAGCTAAATTATTTCTAAGGTAATTTTCAAATAAAAAATGACATAAAAGCAAATTCTGGATCAACTTAACATTAGAGCATCGTAAACATGAAACCAGCTACATTATCAAGTAGTAAATTCTCTCTATTAGTTGATATCATCGTTTGCTCCTAAGGGTAAAAAGTGGAATAGAGATTCCCAGTCAGAGCACATGCCTGGGTTGCGGGCCAGGTCCCCAGTGGGGGCCACATGAGAAGCAACCACACATTGATGTTGCTCTCTCTCTCTCTCTCTCTCTCTCTCTCTCTCTCTCTCTCTCTCTCTCTCTCTCTCTCTCCCCCTCCCTTCCCCTCTCTAAAAATAAAAATAAATAAAATCTCTAAAAAAAAAGTGGAATAGACAGCAAGCTATTGTAAGTAAAAGCCAAATATTCACAAGCTGGTGTTCTTACAAAGATAGGATGGAATATTATTGTTGCCATCTACTGAGTAAATTACACTGGTAATTTAATTCTAGGGAGAAAACTAATTCTAGCTCATCTGTATTGAAGACTGTATTTTTCTGTTTCTAGATATACTAAATATGCTAAGCCTTGACTCAATGAACCTGCTTAATATTTCTTAGACAATAACAGTATACCTTTCTTCTCTGAATGATTTTATCTACTCACCAACAATATTATTTCTTAACCTGTAAGATTCCCAAGCTACAATGTTTAAGTGAATGTTTATAAAACTTGAATTTCTCAAAACCAAAGTAAAAATCACTCAGTATAGCTGCTGTTTTCTATGTTCTAGATATCACTTAATAGGCATTTACAGCAAAAAATGAAGCCAGGCAATAAACTCAGGGGATAGGTACTCAACTTTCCATGCAAAGTACAGTACTTTAATAGTGTACAGGGCCTAAGAAATACTAAATTAAATGAGGATCATAAACACTGAGAGTAAGGGTAGGAGATGCCTTGGAATATAAGAGGTCAAACACACAAAGGGTGCAATGGCCCTGGATGTATGTTTCTATATGTATTCCAAAATCACACAAAACCAATTTGTGGTTTATCCATTTCTCTTCTCTGGAAAAGATTTTTTAGAGAAAATTATTTCCCTGATTCTATACCTGTCTGAAAATCCAAGGATATCTTTTGTGGTTCACTTATCATCAGACATTACATTGAACACATTTTGAACATTTTTCTACCTATGCCATACCTTACCTCTTGAGTAGACATCCCTTGATCAAAATTCCTGATAACTCCGATGCATATTTCCAAGTTCCCTAACTGCGGTAACCTAATTACCTTAGATGTACATATTAAATAGTTGAAAAAAACTTTAGAGCACCTATGTGCAGGAAATACCAATCTTTCACATTTTAGACTATATTAAAATGAAGTGTCTTTAATGGGAAATAAAAAATATCTGCATAAAAAGAAAGCAAGGAATTGCTTAGGACACTGAAGCACAGACATTTTGCTCAATTGTTTCAATGTAGCAAAGTAAAATCAGGTCTGTGCACATATTTACAACAAACTATGTCACATTGTGTCATGTACTTTTTAAAAAAGAAGCAATTTTAAAAAACTGTTTCCTCACTAAAGAACAAAAATGTATAAAATAGTCCAATCAACAATAAGAAACTAATAAGTCTATGTTCTTATACTTCAAAGATATAAAGGTAACCCATGTTCAAAATTCTGTAATATTTTTATTTTAAAGCTACTGATGGTGTAGAGAAGAGCCCATGTAATAAAAATGAATTGAAGTATTTAAAACTCTCATTTCACCATTATTTTTATAATGCTGGAAGTTTCTGGTGTCAGTTTTTATTAACCTTTCACCTTCCTCCCTTTCATACACATATAGTTGAAGACAATTTTTTTTGTATTCAGGTAACATACAGCCTTCCATTGAAATATTATTGTCTGTAAACCTTTTCATAGCTTTAATTCTAAAAACAAAATTTTATCCAGAGAACCCTTACTCATCTTTCCAAACTTACCAGACTAATAAAGCCAAGAAAAAAATTTAATTTCCCTTCCCACCTCCCCAAATGTAGTACCTATTCTAAGTTATAATTCCCTTTTCTAATTTTTTTAGAGTATAATTTCTTTGAGAAGTCAAATTACTTCATTCAACCCACTGTGATTAATTCAACTTTTATTTATTGCCCCGGACCCCATCATGTTTATTTTTTAATCTTTGGAGTCCATTTCTTATGTAAGTCTCTTCAAATCAAAAGGGAAATCCTCTTGCTTCTAGCAGATTCTGCATTAAAAAAAGGAAATTGTTCCAGGGGCTTCAATTAAGTTTAGGTAGCTATAAAAACCAGAATCATTAAAACCAAATTTTATCCTTCTCCATGTTGTCTTGATATCAAGAACAAGAGATTCCTGAATCAATATTTCACCTTCTACAATTATTTCTTCAAGCAGAACACTAAAATATAAAACTTTCTTCTCCTGTTAACAGCTCTTATAAATTAGGTAGTCTCTAATCAGCCATTATTTTCAAATGTGTTTTTCTGGGTATAGAAACTGTCGTTTGCATGCTATTTTATGAGACATTGTATTTTTTATCAATCTTGCTTTTAAAAGATTTAACCATATTACTCCTAATATGTGTAATTTTGACTCACAACCAAGAGTTTTCATGGTTTGCAAAATTGACATAAAAATGGTATCTAAAAGTCCAATTCTTGAAATAAAATTAAGATGAAGTTAATCATAAAAATGCAAAAATGGACTAAACGCATCACCTATTTCATAAATTTGGCACTGGGTGACCCAGTAAAGAATCATTTTAACAGTTTAAAAATTGTTTTCTCTAAAAAGGTTAACATACACTAGAACAGGATATATATTCAGAAATACTTAGAGAAAGACACATAAAATTAAAATACACTTAAAAACACTGTTGCAGTTTTCAGTTTCTACTCCTGAAACAAAAATAAGCCATTTATCAGTAAGTGCATTTTTTTCATGGAGAAAATATTTATTAGTTTTCAAATAATCACATAATACAAATATTACATAGTCATTCTAGAAAAAAATTAGCTTGTATTAATATTCATAAAATAAACACTGAAAAATATAGAATTGCATATTATGACATAAAATATTTAAAAATCTGAAAGAAAAATATATTAAAATAAAAGTTTATATAAACAAATCAGTTCACATTAATACACAAAATGTTTCACTTTTAAATAGCTTTTAGTGGAAAGAGGGGAATAGAAATGCACTTACATTTTTTTTGCACACTTTAAGGAACAGAGCTAAATTTAATCAAAGCATATGATTAAGAGACTAAATCACTTTTCATCTTTCAAAACTGAAACAAAAGGCTATAATCTCATAGGCCATAAACTGGTTCAAAGAGTTTAACTTAATTTCCAAGAAATTTCACTTTCAATTCCCCTGAGTTCTTTCTAAGATGTTGAGTATTAAATTTATGTGTTTGTAAAAACTGTCTTACTAACAGTTAACAAAAACAAACCAAGCATTAAAAGCTGTAATCATTCATGAAAATTCAGAGCTCTCTAAAGAAATTTTAGTTTAAATTGATCTTTTAAGCTTACTTTTCAGTACTTTACAAAAATGTATTTATAATTAATGAGGAAAAAAGCTCTAATAGATAGCCAAGAAAAAGTAAAGGCCAGGGTATAATTTAACAAATGTTTCTAGATTCCTAAAATATGTTATATGCTTCTATGTTAATAATTCTATTTCTCTTAAAATTTGTACCAAATAAAACAAACTGGCAACACTGGATAACTTTTAAAAATTTCTTTAATAGCTTTGACCAGTTAATAGATACCAGAAAGAGAAATAGAAAAATTTTGATAACTATTACCCACAATTGATAGTTTGGATGATTACCTTGCAACACTGACATATGCTACTAACTGACTTTGTTTCAGTATCATTCAAATTTTACTGTGCTATCAATGAAAGACAATACCTCAAGTTTCACAGGTATTTACTACTTTAGAAGGAGTACGCTACTTTCATCTCAAAAGATGTCTCTTCTATTTCTATATTGGAATCACTGTTTATTGACAAATGAGAACAAGGCTCAAGATCAGAAAAAGATAAGCTAAGAGTGTTGCCCTAATTTTAAAAGTAATTTGGAAGTAATTAAGAAGTTCATCCTTTATTTCTAATTCCTTTCATTATCAGATAACAAAAAACAGTTTCAGTAACTTTTTGGATCTCCTATACTAAAAAAGTTTTCCTGCTTGATTAAGGTGATTTCAATCCCACAAATCTTTTAAGTAAAACAGATACAGAGAGCTGCTTTTAAAAGAAAGGAGTCTCTCATGCTTCCTCTATTTCAGTCTTCTGAATAGAAAAGGAATATTTTCACGGCCATGTAAAATTCCAATCTGAAAAAATTATTTCATTATTTGAGCCTTTCCATTTCCAGACCAAGAGTACACCAAAATAAATCTTAAAGTTTATAAATGACAAAATCAGGTGGCTCTCTCATCCTTGTGTCTTCTAGATATATTGCATGGTTCCGTTCACCACTGCCTTCCAAATTGCAGGTGCTGCATGTGTGACAGATATCATCCATGAAGGCTCTGCTAGAAGAGTTCCTTTTGCTGAAGAAGTATGATGTTTACCAGTTGAAAGAAATCTGGGCAATTAGAGAACAAATAAACCAGTCTCCCATTATCAAGATACCTGGAGTCACAGAAGGAATCCACCAAGGAAAAATGAAAACTTGCCAAAGGTACCAAGTTTACATTCTACCCATTGTAGATGATAAGAATTTCCTAGAATCAAATCCTACCCTTGGCATCAAAGAAACTAAGAGAAAACCATTTTAATGCCATGGGGAAAATCTAGGACAAGGCTTTTGCCACAAATAACATTATTCCTAAGGACTGGAAAACTACTTCCGAGTATATTTAACATAGCTTTCAGGAATATTATACCCTAAAACTTATATTCATTCATATTTATCTTATTAAAGAATGAAGCCTACATTTGACAGTAAAACCGTAATAGTACTATCAATGTATCTTCTAAAAGACATATATAATATGGAAGTCCTAAAGTTTGAGGTATGAAAAAGACCAAAAGTTTCTCACTAACAGGGTAGGATAATACCTGGACATCAGACTTTATAAGTTAGGCAAGTTCAGATGTCCAGCTTGCCCAAAGATGAAATACAGAAACTTCTCAATTACTGGAATATAAAACAGCAACTTAGAAGTCCACTAAGTCTAAAATGGGCAAATATTACTTTTTTTAAAAGTACTGTGAACTACACAGGTATTCACCAAATCGAGTGCCCCAAGTCACGCACTGCTTTAATTATCTGGAGAGAAAAATAAATTTAGGTCTTTTTTTTTGAATGGGCACTAGTTAGCATTCTCAGAAAACCAAATAGATTGAAGCCCTACTCAGCTCTAATATGAACCCAAGGAGTTTACCAATAGAATTAAATGGGCAAAGGAAGGACACTTCAATCTATAAATAAACCCAAGTAAATAATGGAAAGCACCCACTTGTTTATTATCCTTTCCCACTCTCTCCAGAAGCTGGATATTCTGCCTCCAAGGGTTCAGTGGAGAAAATGGACCCCTGACGTCAAAAGCTCTCCGTGGTCTTGGCTGTATCTGTGGTTCTAGGATCACTCCTTGCACCTCTGGTAGGAGAGAAGCACTGAAATAGAGAGCTGAATATAGATTTAAGAGAAAATTCTTATTAAGAAATTACATTCTCTGGTCATTTGAGTTTGTAATGATTTATCCTCAGGATAAAAAGGAGCTATCTTTGGGCATACTTTGTTTAGTGCCTTCTTAATTTGAATTAGAAGTCTGTTCCCACAAATAATTAATTCCTCAGTAACCATTAAGGGACCTATCTTTGTCTAAGTCATAACACACTCTATGACAAACCACTGAACTTCAAGTGGTAAAGATCAAATCAAAAATGATAAATTATGACTGGAAATAAGATCATAGCAATCTTAAAGGGACTGGGAAAGGCACTTGACCTCAGGTATGTTAAAGAAGGAGTCCCAGTTAATTCTCTGTCAAAGAGAAGAAGATGGACTGAAAAGTAGAAACAGAATAATCAAGCACATTAACAGGAATACTAATAAATCTTGGCAATTGTTTAAGAAGCTGAATTTGTTCTTGGTGTCTGTCTTCAGTAAATTAAAGAATTAATCAGCCTACAGTCCCATATTACCTTGCAATACAAAGCTAATACAAAGCTAATCCTAAATTTTAGCAAGCTATGACTACTGTCACTGAAAAAGATTTATTCCTAAAGCACTCAAATATAAAAGTGGGAGGGCAGAACAGTGGATAGAGGCAATACAGAATATAAATCTTTTTAAAACATATGATCCTTCGGTTTGAGGTCAAGAAGGACCAGGAAATAATCATTAATGGCTACAATGCAGAAATTAAAGCAGTAAGATATATCCAAATTATAGATGATGATAGATACTGAAAAATAGTTTACACTGTTATAGGAATGAGGTAAACAAGAGAAGGAAGTTCAAAGCATATGGCATCTGATCAAGGAAAAGCTGAAAGGAGAATAAAGACAGGCAGACATGTATTTAAAGTTACAGGGACTGCAGGATAAATTTTAACAGTAGAAAACAGATCAATTTTACTTTGTGGTACAGAGTGATACACCCGTATTAAATTTCAGATCTTATTCTAAATAGAAAGGTGCTATATATTCCTGCTGTATGGAACATAATAGTCACATTATTTTATTTCAGGGACATATTACATTTTGGGATAAATTTTAAAAGATATTATCAAGTAATCTCTCTCTCATGGCAACTGGTTATCACAAGTGTACCTTACCTGTTAGTGGAACGAGGACTGTGCTCTCTTGTTCTATCAATCAACAAGGTTATAGTCTCAGCACTAAGAAGGTAGCAACCAAGTTAATGTTTTAGTGCCTTCAACTTCCTCCTGGCTCTGCCAGCCAGTTTGGAAATATACCAACAGCTGAAAAGGAATGGTTATTCCATTACCTAACAACACATGGACTAATTTTTTTCAGACTAATGATGAAACAACGAGCTAACACTTCTGCTTTAGGAATATATTGAATTCTGTACAAGTGAGAAATGAAAATAGTTTGGACTAAGAAAATAAAGCCTATGAATTTAACCATCAAATTGGTCACTTCTAAAAATTAAAGAAATAAAGAAATGAAAAAAGAAATCTAAAAGAAGTCAAGGGGTGAAACTGCCATCTCAGAAAAGGTATCAAATAAGTAAGTACAAAAATACTTCATAAGCCTGCGTGCCAACTATTTTTTTCATTTTAAGTTTCTAATAGAGTTCAAGTCCTGAAGTCTTTTAGTTTTGAAGAAACTACAGACTATATTTTTTGAGCAGTAGCTTAAAACAGTATTTTACTGTATAATCACATTGAAGAGGTATAATGAGGAATGACTAGAGGAAAGTGGTACAAGTTACAAAAAGACCTGAATAATATCTCAAGAAATGCAACCTACTTAGGTATTTTTCTAGAATTAAAATATCCCGAACAGATTAACAAAGTATTTCACAGCTTGCTCCTAAGGGATGGCTCTTGAACAGATGAAAAAGGCTTAACACACCAGAGCTGTTTTATTTATGTTTCCATGTACCTATACAGAGCACAAAGGTGTTACAAAATTATTGCTTAGTGCTTTTAAAATTATTAAGCAATCATCCTCTAGTCTTTTCTAATCAATTTCCTTGACAAATCACTTTTCTTGTTTAATATTTCAATAGAAACAAGAAAAATTATTAAATATTTCCAAATTGAGATCTTAGAAAAACTTTAAGATAGTTCAAAATATATTCAGAAATTATAAACAAGATATAATTCTCCATTTCTTGAATACTATTCAGTAGTAGCAATATATGTGAATGAAAATAACAGGCAAAAAAGAAACATTCTATGTTGAACAACAAATACATTTGCTAATTTTTCTTTAAATTTATAGACCCAATTCATTTTAAAAATAAAAACAACCCCCAAGAAATCATATTTTGCTCAAACTGAAACTGGGCTAAGTTTACAATTTCTCCTAGTAGGAGCTCCAAACCTTTAATAATCATACTCCACAGAATATATAAATTAAAAATACAACAAACTTAGATTAAAAAAAATACCAAACACTTGTCCTTAGGTTATAGGCCAAGTATACTGGCTAGAAAAGTAGATCCACTTACAAACTTCACCCAAGTCAGATAACTTTTAGTATATGCCTTTTTTTTTGCCTGAAGTACAAAAACTTGTAGAATTCAACATATTTATACCTCAAAATTAAACATGCGTATTTCCCTAAAAAGAAATTATTTTGAATCATTGAGGAGAGCTAGTATCTCTCTTGCTTTAGGAGTGAGTAACGTATCAACAATGTGGATTTGATATTACACCATTTATACAGAAAATGTAAAGGCACTTTCAAAATGAGATCATTAATCAAACAAGACAAAGCAGCCTTTGTGAGACTTGATGGAGGCTCATAAAAATGACACGTAGGACCTTACCTAATACTATTTTAATAGACAGCATTCCTCTATGTGATGCTTCAAGAGGAATAAAAGTAAGTATTCCACTGCAGGACTCCACTAGAGAATAAATTTCAAACCAAAGCCAAGAAAATCATCAATGCTGAAATGCCACAAAGAAACTCAAACAATATAACTGTTTAGTTATGAACATAACTAAAAAATCCAGTTACATTCAAATCAGAATCAATAAATCGAAGTATTGAATGTGGAAATACCACTCAAGAAAGTTTCCTGAAATGTACAAATTAAACTATTTGCAGTGTTTGTTCTCAATATCAAATTATTAAATAAGCATATACTGCTAGTTTTAAACATTTCTCATACTGGAAAGGAAAAGCTATACCTAACAATTTTTAACCAATGAAATAGAAGGTAACACATTTTTGCAAAGACTGTGATTTCTATTCACTTGTACTGTAACTAACTGATCTAAAGTTGAACTTGCTAATTTATAGATTTACAGATTACTCATAAAACAAAACATTTTACATAAATTGAGAGCATGATGCAATATCTTTTTCCTATTCAACAATTATCATTCATTTTACTGATTTTAAGGCACATTTATAAAGAAAAAGAATTTCTCATAAATCCAAGTGTCCAGAACAGCCCCAACTGGCATTAAGAAAAAAATTATAAAACATCCTCAACAGAAATAGTGAGTTTTTGTATCTCCTGCCCCTAGAAGAGTGTTTGGCACACAAATAAAGAAAGAAATAATGCACAATACACTTTTAAGAGTAGTTAATACACTACAGAATAAAAGATAAAAAGCAATCATAAAAATATGTATCAATTATAAGAAAGTCAACTTCAGGGTCAAGTTGCCTTTAAAAAGACAACTTCAGGGTTAAGATGACTAAATAAAAAATATTAAATTTACCACTGCCTCCTCTGAATAAAAAAGGCTTCTATATTTGACAAAAAGAAAACCTTAAGGAAAGTAATTTTAAGAAAAACCTCTAAATCACTGTGGCAATGTCTTTTCATAATTAACCTAGCCCATTATTTTACTTCTCTAGCATCTTTGTCACCTGTTTATTTTGCTAGCATGAATATTTGGCTTTGTCCTAAAAATGACTAGCATATTTTGAAGAACATATATAAGGTACTGGGAAGGGAAAAATAAAGGATCATCTTTCTACCACATTTTTTATTCCAGCACTTTGTGTTGTGCTACATTCTTGAATTCATTTAGAAAAAGATGAATATAAAAGAAAGAAATAAAATGTTTTATCAGTTAGGATTCCTTTACATTAATTCCTTTGTGATTCTTACCAAAGACAAGAAATATGATTTCCAGTCAACAGCAAAAAGATGTTAAAGAAATTAAATTCAAAAGGTTCTTATCAAGCAAAAATCATTAAGAGATGCTAAAATTAATAGGTGGAAGTATGATGAGAAACAGGATATTTACTTGGTCTCAAAATATCTCCCCACAAGACACTTGCTATTTATAAAGAGAAAAGGAGTAATTTAATGGTGTAGAAACCTGGCAGACAGCTCCTTAACCAAATGATCAAGATAACATCAACATTAATGGGTCAAATTGATATCATGTGCCTCCTTATACAATACACTGATAAGAACATAACATCAGTTCTGTGGAAACCTTGCCAAAAATGTATAATCTCAATCTGATCATGAAAGAACATCAGACATACAAATTGAGGAGCATTCTAACTAGCTAGTACTTCACAAATGACAAGGTCACAAAAGGCAAAGAGAGAATGAAGAACCAGTCCAGACTGAAAGAGACTTAAGGAGACATGACAATTAAGCACAAATGAGATCCTAGGTTGAATCCTAAACCAGAAAAAGATCATTTGGTAAAACATTTACAGATTGGTTAGTATTAATTACTGATTTCTATATTTGTTTTATGGTTATATAAAATATAAACATTAGGGAAAGATGGATGAAGGCAATGGGTACTTTTATAGTATTTTGCAACTTTTTAAGTCAAATTATTTTAAAATAAAGTTAAAAACAAAAAATAAAGAGTTCTGAATAAGGCACCATATTTGACACACCCATATAATATCTACTGAGAAAAAAATAGGTCTACATTTTCTATTGATATGAAAAGTTTTACCCCCCAATATTTCTCTAAAAACTAATCCTAATAGAAATGA